GGCGAGACAAGGGCAACGAAGCTGCTGGGGAAGGGTCTAGAGCCCAAGTGTGGGGAGGAGCAGCTGAGGGAGCTGGGGGTGCTGAGCCTGGAGCAAAGGAGGCTCAGGGGAGACCTTGCTTAGGTTAGATATTGGGAAAAATGTTTTCCCTGAAAGGGTTGCCCAGGGCTGTCCCAGGCTGCCCAGGGCAGGGGTGGAGTCCCCATCCCTGGAGGGGTTTCCAAGCCGTGGAGATGTGGTGTGAGGGACATGGGTTAGCAGTGGACTTGGTAGAATTAGGTTAATGGTGGGACCTGATGATCTTAGAGTTCTTTTCCAACCAAAACACTTCTATGATTGTACAGTTTCTGGCTTTCTTGTGAAGAAAGTGTGTGTGGGTGTGGCTTGGCCCTCACTGTATCACTGCCTGGTATTTGTGTGTCTGAAGGGCATCAGGATTGAGAAATGTGTGGGATGTATGTTTAGAAAGAGATACAACTTAATTAATAACCATAGATGTCCCTGCTTACTGCAGGGGTATTGGACTAGATGACTTTTAAAGGTCCCTTCCAACCTAAAACATTCTGTGATTCCATAATATTGGTGATGGGAATAGTCCATTGAATCTCTGGGTGGAAATCAGCCCAGCTTCAGTCTGCATATCTTGAGAGCACTGGGGCAGGCTCACCCTTTTATTGCTGCTCTTTGATCAAAGTTCATTCCTGCATGCTGAAGAGAAGGCCAGGAGTCTTCACTTGGTGCTTTTAAAAAGTCAGTCACCCAGAGCCAGGCTGGGTTTGTAGAGCCCTGAGCAAAGGCTGCTGCTGCACGTCACATCTCCTGTTTGCTGTTGTCTGTAGGACTGAACCTGGATCGGTCAAGGCTGCACCTCCTCCATGGAGACCTGGAGGGCCAGACCTGGGATGACATTACCAGTCAGGTGGTGCTGAGATTCACCCATCTGTATGCAGTGTTTGAAGTCACCCACTTCTCCTGGTAAGTGCAGGACTAGATAAGCTGTTCCTCAGTCTGGCTCGTCCCACACAGTGACCAGGGGTCACACCATTAACCCTGCCTGTTCCCTTTCCCCTTTGTGAGTCAGGCCCAGCCTAGCCTGGCCTCTACCCATCATATTTTACAGTCTTGTGGGTGTGACACTGGCTTCTCTTCCTAGGCAGGATCCCTCCTTTTCCTAACCCCTTGTCTGGCAGGTACTGGCTGTGGTACACCACCAAGACCTACATTGGGGGCATTGCCAGGAAGGTCTACGAGCGGCTGCGCATGTACCAGGTGAACTTCATTGCTCTGCAGAGGAGGAAGGACCCCGAGCAAGTCCTGCTGCAGTGTGTCCCCAAGCACAAGGTCTGGTCTGGGTTGCATTGCCTGGCTCCTGAGCTTGGTGGGCCTCATCTTCTAGGTCCAAAGGGCAGCAGTGCACCACGGGGTCCTCTTCACTGCCCCCAGGTCATGGCTGGGCTGTGCTGTCACCACACTGGTGGGGTGTGATACGGGCACACGGGGAGCTGGGGGAAGAAGGGGAACTCCTCCTGTGCAGTGGTGGATGCCAAGCAGTGATGTCCTCCCCTGAGAACCTTGAGGACTGGGCTGCTGAGTTCAGCTGAGCCACAGGAACTGACCATGTGTGGGCTGTTAGTGGCCAGCAAACATGAGGCAAAACATGTTGGCTTAAAACTTCAGTCAGGGGGAGATTCCAGGCCAGGTTCGAGGAGGCTCTGGGCAACCTGCTCTAGCTGGGGGTGTCCCTGCTCCCTGCAGGGGGGTTGGACTGGGTGACCTTGAAAGGTCCCTTCCCACCCAAACCAGCCTGGGACTCTGTGATTGTGGCTGGGATAGGAGGGGGGGCATGTCTGTTCATTTGTTTACATCCTTCCCATGTAAGATGGATGTCCCCCTGTTGAAGGTGAGAGGAACATCACGGGTGTAGGGCCAGGGGCCAGATGTGCTTCAGACCAAGCACAGGTCCTGTGTTGTTTTCCTGGTCAGGTGGACCCAGTGCTGAAGAAGCTGCAGGACCGCTACCGAGGCCCGGAGCCCTCCGACATGGTGGAGATGTTTGAGGGAGAGCAGTTCTTTGCAGCTTTTGAGAGGGGCATCAGCATCGACACGGGTATGGTCACACTGGGCTCCCTGCTGTCCTCCCTCTCCTGCTTCTCCAGGCACCGTTCTGCCAGGGGCTGTGCTCCTCCACAGCACTCCTCTCTGTCTGCAGCTCACCCACTACTCACAGCAGCCAGGCTTGGACTGAGAGCCTGTCACATTCTCTGGTCACCCAACTTTTGTGTCCACTTTTCTCTACGAAAATGCTGTTTGGAGGCTTTAACTTCCTCTCCTGCTCTCGTAGCCTGCAGAGGGCAATAGCGGAGTGTGTTTGGTTTGTGACTGCTCTGCTCCAGCTGTGCCCTTCCCCTGGCATCTCTGACACCACGGTGTGGCCCATGGTGGTCTGCTTAACCCTGCCTAGTTCTGAGAGGACACATATAAAGAGTTTTTCTTTTTTGAGAAACTATTTCTGAAATAATCCAGAGTGAAGAGTTCCCCCTAACAGAGCCATTCAGAGAGAAGGCAAGAGGGAGCAGGACCAAAACTCAAGGTGATGTTTGCTCCCCCAGAACATCTGCTAGAGCTGCAAATGGAGCAAAACCTGGACACAGGGCTCAGTTTCATGGGTGCAAATTAGGCACAAGTCTCTGAAGAATAATAAAGTGCACTGGTCTTTCAGTGGAACGAGTCTGTCCTTCTGTCCTCATTTAGGCTGGACTCTAAGTGGCTGGATTATATTTTTCCCTCTTAGCTCTGTTCCTATTTCTGCACCCACTGCAGAAATGAAGAAGAGACAGGTGACCACTAGCTTAGTGCACCACAGGACACTGTTGCAGCTGATTCTACCTTCTGAGGGGTAGAATGGGCCAAGGGTGGGAGGGCAGTGCCAAGGATGGACTTGACTCCATCTGAATGTCTTGCCCTGCCTTGCCTTCCACTCTTGAACTTGATCTCCACCTCGTGGCTGTTCTCCTTTTCCACCTGCAGGACCTGTTTTCTCCACAGCTCTCCCACATCACCTTGCAAGGAAGGGGGGGCTGCAGTTCTTTCAGGCATGAGGAGGAGGAGCTGGTAGCCTGGAGGCTGCTGGTGGGTGGTGGGCAGTGGGGCAGGCCTGGGAGGCTGCCCCTGCCCTGCAGGATTGAGTGTTTGCTGCACCCTGCACAGATCGCCCCGACTGCGTGGATGGACGGCTCGCCTTTATCTTTTACTCCCACTTGAAGAACATGAAGGAAATCTATGTGACCTCCCTTGTAGACAGGAAAGGCCAAGCTGTAAAAGGCCAGGTGAGCAACCTCTTACCCTGACTTTTCCTCATTCATCATCATCACTGTTTTTACAGTGCTCCTCATAATCATCTCCCAGCACCAGGCATGACTCTTCCCACCACCACCCCCCTGGCCTTTGAATTTCCCTGACTAAACCCTGAGCAAACAAGAGGAGCACTCTGGGAGGATCACTCATGGCTCAGCTCTCTGACTTACTTTCCTACCATTAACTCCTGAGGTGTTGGACTGAGTCTTTGTGACAGAACCTCAGCACTCCTCCCAGTTGCACTTTGTTGGGAGGCCCTGTTTACAGGCTGAGGATGGGTGAGGAACGGTGACTTCATTCCGTGCCAGGCAGGCAGGACATGGAGCCAGCAGGCCTGGCCACTGCTTTGAATCCAAGCCTCACTGCTGCTCTCTGTTTGCAAAGGTCTCCTTCTACCGAGGGGCAGTTCCTGAGAGTGTCCCCGAGGATGCCAGCAGGAGGAGGAAGGGACCAGACTCCCTCTGGCTCGCTACTCTGCCCATCAAACTGCCCGTGAGTTGTTTGTCTCCTACAGAAAAACTTCTCTGGGTGGGGTAAGGGCACAGCCTTCCTGCTCAGCTCATTTGACTGCAGGAGGGGGCTCAGCCTTGCCGTGCTGGAGGTTCCTCATCCCCGTGGGCTCTCCTGAAAGGAGAACCTTGAAGAGCTGGGAGTGTTCTCCAGCTCTCCTGCTCAGCTTGCCTGTCAAGCACAGGCTTGTTGGATGGGTGGTCAGAGAGGGTGGAGCTGTTGAACGAGTGAGGGATGCAGAACAGGAGGGAACTCACTGTAATTAAGGGAAGTGTCTGTTTTGTTCATAAATTTCTTAGTCACACAGCAGGAAAAAAGAAAGGTCTAGGATGAGGTAGGCAGGCTGGATTTGAATACAGGTGTTGAGTATTCTGGTATGTATGGTATGTGAGAAATGCAACTCTGGCTTATGGAATTGAGTTTTGAGAAGCTTCAAACAACAAAAACCTTTGCTGGCTGAACACGTCCCTTCAGAGCACGTGCCATGATCTCACTTCCCTGTCTGCCATGTGCAGCCTCGACTGCAAATCCAGAGTGAGTGCTCTTACCACTGAGGCAATGTGCTCTGGGGATGTGGTTCATTGAAATATGCTCTGCAAAGACAAGAAGGGGAGTTTCCAGTGTGAGCTATGACTGAACACCATGATTTGATAGTTTTCAGAGGCACTGAGCAGTGCTGGTCATTGCTGGTGCGAGTGCTGCTTGTGTCCTACAGCCTGGTGCTCCAGCCCCAAGATCTCCTCCCTCCCCAGCAGGGGATTTCAGTGTGAGACTGACTGGCCAGACGCTGTCCTCTACACCACCAATACTGTTACATGCTTCCTCTCACCCCCAGCGACTGAAACCCCGCTGGGCTGAGAACCCCAGTGCCCTGAACGGCTTCTCCTTCCCTCCCTTGAACCTGGGCAACGCCGAGACGGGCTACCTGACCCAGAGCAACCTGCTGGGCATCGCCAGGCGCCTGGGGCCCGACTGGCAGAGCGTGGGGCTCAGCCTGGGCCTCACCTACCAGCAGATCCAGCGCATCGCGTACAACAACAGGTGAGGAGGGGCCTGTGCTGGGCAGGGGGGCACTGCCCTGGGGACAGGGAACCACAGACTGGGTTGGCTTGGGAGGGACCTGAAAGATCATCTGGTTCCAACCCAGACACCTCCCACCGGAGCAGGGTGCTCAAATCCCATCCAACCTGGTCTGTTCTGATGGAGCATCCACAACTTCCCTGGGCAACTTGTTCCACTGTCTCACCACCCTCAGAGTGAGGAATCTCCTAAATTCTAGACTAAATTTACCCCCTTCCAGTGTGAAACCATTCTATCTCTCTGTCTGTCTATCTACCTACCTACCTGCAGTGTAATAGCAGAAACTAATGCCTGGCGGATGGAAAGTTTTCCCACTGGAATTGTTTCACTGGATAAAAGATGAGTTGATTGATGGCTCTTCTCAAAACATGACTTTTTTTATGGAAAACTGAGTATTTTCTCTTGCTGTTACAAAGCAAAGCTTTACGTCTGAAAAGCAAAATTGGGAAATAACAAACCCCGTGAGCTTTGTAGCTGAGATGAGTTGCATTCCTGTTTTGTTCTGTGATCTGGGTTCCTGGCCAGTCTCCATGGCTGACAATGAGCAGTGGTCTCTGGCATTAATTCTGAATATCATCCTATTCAGAGAGAGCTTCTGGTACATCATGGGACACGCAGCCTGACCCAAAAGCCAGAGCAGTATGGGAGAATGAGAACTGTTATGACCAAACCACTGTTCCTCTGGGGAATTTACAGTCAGAAGCAGAATGCTTTAATTTGATATTTCCATTAGGAATAAAAATTCTGGAGGGATTTTAGTGGAGAAGCTGCAGCCCCTGTATTGTGGGTGGGGAAGAGGCAGGACCACCAAGTGCTTTGTGTGGCTGGGGTGTGTCCCTGGGGCTCCAGCCACGGGCTAGGACTCGGGTGAGGCCTCTTTGGGCTGCCAACCAAGGGTGTGCTGGTTACTTCTGTGCTTTGCCCGTTCTGCAGAGAGGACCTGGACAAGCAGGTGCAGGACATGCTTTTCTCCTGGGCTGTGCAGCACTCGGAGGATCCTGGCTGTGTGAGCAGGCTGCTGGCAGCCGTGAGGGAGAGCGGCCGGCAGGACATTGCTGAGGAGATGGAGGCCACCCTGGAGCTGGGCAGGCACAAGTACCACCAGTCCCTGCGCAGGGTGGGCCTGGAGCAGGGGAGCAGCACCCAGGACTCGGCCACAGCCATGGGGTAGCACCCCCAGGAGGAGCTGGGGTGGACAGAGTCCCTCTGGGTGCCCGGGGCTGCTCCCACCTCAGGGGCCGGTGTCTTCCCAGGAGCTGCACGTTGATTGTCCTGTGAGCAGACTCTGGAGCTCTCCTGGCACATGCTCAGGTGCCACCTCTGCCCATCCCAGGTGGCCTGGAGGGCCTTTGTGTGCCTTCTCTGCACCTCTGCTTCTGGACCTTTAGACACCAGGAGTGTGGACAGATTCAGAGACTGAAGTGTCCGTCCGTGGACTAGTGACTGAAGTAGCATTTAGTGAGTTAACACATGTATTTATTTATAACTTATTCCTGAAAATGTGTCCTGCTGGAAACCCTGGGGGTGAGCACGTGGGTCTGTTTGTGCCCCAGTGCTCCATGGGCAGGGGAGGTGCAGTCCTGTTCCAAAAGCCTGTGGCATGGTGGGGACTGTTCAGCTGCTGCTCTTGGGGATTTGTTTTGCTCACCTGAAAACGTGACCTGGATTCCCCACAAAAATGTTTTCTGTCAAATCTCCTTCAGATCCCTCGAGCCCAAAACAAACCCCAAGTATTCATGGGGAAAAGAAGCTAATTTCTAGCAAAATGGCTCTTAGGTTTTGGTTTTGCTCCAAAAGCTATATTTGAACAAATAAAATGTCACATTCTCCCTGGGCTGCTGCACCTGCCAGGCTTTTCAGATGAGACTTTGACCAAGCTCCAGTTTTGTTTTACAAATTAAGTACAAATCTATAAACCTGCTGCTGCTGTGGGAGAGACTCTAAGTGGAAGTGAAGTTTCCCTTGCAGTTTCGAGGGGACATTCCTCACAGCCTCCTGGTGGAACTCGCTGGTGTAGTAGTGCAGGTGTGTGACCCCTGAGAAGGTTGGTGGCAAGTGTGGTGACTTAAATTTGCATTTCAAAACCTGCTCTGAGCAGCGGTGAAACAGGAGCCGCGGTGGGACTGGGGGAGCTGTGCTGAGCTAAGCTCCGGGGTTTGCAGCCCCCACACCTTGCAGAAGGCTGGAGCTGTTTGTTGCTTGTCAGCTGCTCAGTCACTGGCTGCTGGGGTGTCCTTCTCTTCCTGTTCCCCAGCTCATAACGAGCCCCAACTAATGAGCCACTAACGACAGTGGGAGATTTCATGCAAGCTTTTTGACAGACTGCCATCTGCATGAATTCAGCTCTTTCAAGGCAGGTTTGGATTCAGCATAACTCTCTAAGTATTTAAAGGGCTGTTCTCAGTCCAAAAAACCAAAGCCTGTGTACAAAGCCCAGGCTGCAACACCCAAAGTCAATGTGTAGCTACAGGTTGGAGAAACCCTGGTGCTGAGTGTCAGACCTGCCACCAGTACAGCTGAAAGAGAGGCACAAAATGGTTCTGCTTTCTTCTTTGCCTTTGTTTAAAGCCATTCTGACATCTCAGACCACGGAGTGATTCGTGTCCAGCCTGGCCAAGGACCTGCAGACTGGAGCTGTTGCCTTGGGCCAAGGGACTTCCTCAGGTCTGATTCCTTAGGCTGTGGTGCCCCTCCAGTCTCGTGTTGGGCTCAGGTCAGCAGTGCTCTTTTAAACAGAAGTTTTCTCTGTGATGTGTGTTCTTGGCTGTGCTTTGGTCTGTACCAAGGAGGTACATGTTCTTTCCTCCAGCTTTGGAGAGGTGCATTTGGGCATATTGCTCTCACTAGGAATAAAACAAGCACTTGAATGTTTCTCAGCGTGGTGTGCTGATGCTTCTGCTCCTTGAGGTGTCAGACAGAGCCAGGTCCCTTGAAACCTGTGGGCAGAAGGACACAGAAGTGGGAGCAGAGCTCCGGGCCAGGGCTGAGTTAACGGTGTCCCTGTGGCTCGGCCGTGCCAGGGCTGAGCCAGGAACCACAACACTCAGCAGTGGCCCAGGGGGAGCACCAGGGGGGGGACAGAGGGGACACAGTGCAGGCCTGGCCTGGGCAGCCTGGCCTCGAGGTTCATCCAGGCACCAGCAGAGCTACAGCTCCTCCAGAGAACAGTCCCTGCATGTGCTGGCTTGGGAGGCACCTCTGAAGGTCATCCAGTCCAACCCCCTGCAGGGAGCAGGGACATCCCCAGCTAGAGCAGGGTGCTCAGAGCCCCATCATGACCTGGAATGTCCCCAGGGATGGGGCCTCTGCCAGTGAGAGGTGACAGGGTAACCTGTTCCAGCCATCAGCCACACTCAAAGTAAAGAACTTCCTAATGTCTAACCTAAATCTGCCCTTTCCTAGCTTAAAGCCCTTACCCCTCGGCCTGTCGCGACAAACCCTTGAGAGCGGATCTCTTCCCAGCCGTGTTCCACCCCCTGGGGCCGCCTGACGCCCGGGAGCCGGTGGTTGCCGTCCAGCGTTTCTCGGCTAGGTGGCACCAGCTGCAACAGCGCGCCGCAGGGAGGAGATCCCGGTTCGAACGCTGACTCACTGCTGCCAGCCGTGTGAGGCCAAAAGGTAACTGTTGTTTGCAGAAAGTAATTGGTTAAACTGGTGGAAAAAAAGTCCTCTGAAAAGCAAACAAATATGGGAAGCTGAATACATCCCCCTGTGGAAGGAGGGTGACTGTGCTCAGGCAGGAGATGAACAGAACAACAGCAGTATGAGAAGCAGGCAGAGGGGCACACCAGCCAGCCTGGCTGAGGTCTCCCCTGCAGGGCTCAGAGGTGGCTGTGGCCCGGGCCCCTTCCAGAGCCACGGGGCCGAGCTTGGCTCCCGGGCTGGGACTTTCAGTGGTGACCCACAACAAACCCCAGGCAGGGATGGGATCTCCACCCTGGACACGGTAGGCTTGGAAATATCCACCCTGCCTCCTTTTCACTGTGTCTCAGCAAGGAGCTGCTGCCAGGGGTCTCTGGGCATCTCCTGGCTGGGCACACACAGCCCCGTGGGCTGGGTCACCAGGTGGAGCCACACCTCAGGGCAGGCCCCGTGTGGCCATCGGATGGTCAAGGGAGGGTCAGGAAGGTAAATCCTGGTATCTGTAATAAAAACACAAGGAGCCTGAGAGACGTTTTGAGCTTTTTACTTTCCTAAGACAGAAAACCTTTTGTCCTGACAAAAAAGAGGTAGCGGGGTGCTGCAGGCCCAGCCATGGGACGGCTCCAAGGCAGCAGCAACAGCTCAGGGCTCTGGGTATGAGCAGGAGGGGGCAACACACAGTGACCTGAGTGAGCCCAGATGTGTCCCAGCCACGCCAGCTCTGCCAGGTCTCTGCCACGGGCCAGACCTGCTCTTCTGGAGGTGTTCAGCATGGCTGGGTTTAGAAACAGCACATCTGCATGCCCAGGAGAGAGTGCAGCCCCTGCAGGGGGTGGCTGCAGCCCCAGGGGAGATGCCAGCTCTCCCCACGGGGTGAAGGAAGGACCTGGCTGATGAACCCGGGCAGGTAACGCTTCCAGTGACACTCTGTTGGGTGATGAGGGGAAGCTCTGTATTGCTGCTGTGAGAAGCAGGACAGGAGAGCTGTCTGGTGGAGGTGGTGATGGGGTAGCTGGGGGAGGACACAGGCTCAGCTGTGAATCTTCACCTCGCTGCTTCAGCTCAGTCCTTGGAGGATTTCACTCCCTCTGGAAGCAGCAGTGGCTCAGGACAAATGTTTTTGGTTTTCTTCCCTCCAGCTTGGAGGAAAAGGAAATCCGTGTGACTCTTGGATTCTCCCCAAGGCCAGCCCTGAGAACAAGCACAGATTGTGATGCTGGTTTTAGCTGCAGGTTACTGGGCCTGGCACATCCCTCCTGTGCTGCAGGAGCACCAGGCTGAGTGACAATCCTGGCCAGGCTTCCATCCCCCTGCAGCTAGAGGAGCAAGCAGACACAGTGCCACCCCTCAGCGAGCCCTGGCAACATGGTTTGGCCACAGCCTGGGCAAGGAAAAGCAAATCCTGCTGCTGAAACGGGCTCTTTTGTGACCACTGCGGCTCATCACTGATGGCTGGAGGGCAGAGACAGTCACAAATGGACCCGTCAGCTTTTTGGGGGCCCAAAATAGCAGAGCCCTGCAGGAGCTGGCGCAGCTCTGGGCGAGGTGTGACTGTCCTGTGTCAGGCCCTCTCCCCTTCCCCGGGCAGGACAGCCCAGCCCAGCACAGCAGTGTCCCTCCCTGGCCTGGGGCAAGCAGCCACCTCACCCTGCTGCCCCAGGAGCAGCGAAGCAGCCACAGAAATCCCCTGGGTATTGGGGGGTGCTGAGGGCAGCTGAGCAGATGAGCTGTGGCTGGGGGAGCACTGAAAGCCCTGAGCGAGCGGGAGCGCTCGGTGCTGCACACCCGGGGGGGACAGTGGTGTCCCCGGTGTCCCTGTCCCCCAGTGTCCCTGTGCCCCAGTGTCCCTGTCCCCCAGTGCCCCAGGAATGTCTGGTCGATGGGCCAGGCCAGGGGCACCCTCAGCAAGGCTGCACAGGACACCAGGTGGGTGGCAGCATGGATCTGCTGGAGGGTCAGAGGGTCTACAGAGG